GATTATTGATATTTTGAGTAATTTAGTTATAAATAGCAACATATTCATCTTCAAATAGCTTATCTTCATTACTCGTTCATTCTGCAAGTTGTTCTGACGCAGTAATTTTACGCATTAATACACACACACACACACACACACACACACACACACACACACACACACACACACACACACACACACACACACACACACACACACACACACACATCAGACGCATATAACAGGGAGGGCACTGCAATGGATCAGGGAATACCTGACAGGGAGGCAACAACGAGTCATGGTACGTGAAGAGGTATCACAGTGGGCGCCTGTGACGAGCGGGGTCCCACAGGGGTCAGTTCTAGGACCAGTGCTATTTTTGATATATGCGAACGACATGATGGAAGGAATAGACTCTGAAGTGTCCCTATTCGCAGATGATGTGAAGCTGATGAGAAGAGTTAAATCGGATGAGGATGAGGCAGGACTGCAAAGAGACCTGGACAGGCTGGAAACGTGGCCCAGAAACTGGCTTCTCGAATTCAACCCTGCCAAATGCAAAATCATGAAGATTGGGGAGGGGCAAAGAAGACCGCAGACAGAGTATAGGCTAGGTGGACAAAGACTACAGACCTCAATCAGGGAGAAAGATCTTGGGGTGACCATAACACCGAGCACGTCACCGGAGGCACAAATCAACCAAATAACTGCTGCAGCATACGGGCGCCAGGCAAACCTGAGAATAGCGTTCCGATACCTTAATAAGGAATCGTTCAAGACACTGTACACTGTGTGTGTTAGGCCCATACTGGAATATGCAGCACCAGTCTGGAACCCACACCTGGTCAAGCACGTCAAGAAGTTAGAGAAAGTACAAAGGTTTGCAACAAGGCTAGTTCCAGAGCTCAGGGGAATGTCGTACGAGGAAAGGTTGAGGGAAATCGGACTGACGACACTGGAGGACAGAAGGGTCAGGGGAGACATGATAACGACATACAAGATACTGCGGGGAATAGACAAGGTGGACAGACAGGATGCTCCAGAGAGGGGTGACAATTGGAAGCTGAAGACTCAGACTAGTCACAGGGACGTTAGGAAGTATTTCTTCAGTCATAGAGTCGTCAGGAAGTGGCATAGCCTAGCAAGTGAAGCAGTGGAGGCAGGAACCATACATAGTTTTAAGAAGAGATATGACAAAGCTCAGGAAGCAGAGAGGGAGAGGACCCAGTAGCGATCAATGAAGAGGCGGGGCCAGGAGCTGAGTCTCGACCCCTGCAACCACAATTAGGTGAGTACACACACACACACACACACACACACACACACACACACACACACACATATATGCAATGCACAATAGCTATAAAGAGAGGGAGGGGAGGATGAAGTTCTAAAATTTTCGTGTTTTAAACGATTCTTCAGGAGCAGTGCCTGAAAATAGTGGAAATCTCAGTGAATACACAGGTATGCATCCATGTGGAGCGACCTCCACATGGATGCAAGTCACCCCTCCACCCCTGGAGGGGTGACTTGCTCCAGTTACGGTATTATATCATATTCTCACACTAATACATAAAAATAAGTTTTTGACCGTAAGGGTCATAGAGCGTCTGGAGACTGGGAAACAAGTGGAGAGGAAGTTAGGACACAGGCTAAGTAGCAAAGAACTTACTCTGTGGGTGAGGAGCACAGCACATGCAGCCTCTCCCGTAGCAGCCGTTCGCTATTTCTATCTCATTCTGCACACTACACAGCTTCTTGCAGATTCCTCCTGCGTGTTCGCAGTGTTCACGAATGCTACATGCAGCTCTCTCATTCAAGGCAGATTCGTCTGTTAAAACGAAATCGAAGAAGCGTATTAAGACGCTGTCAAAAAGTCTACAAAATCAGTAGCACAGCAGTAATAAATTTAGGACATTAAACATATAGCAAAATGTGTCCTGGTAGTCTTTTCTAGGCGGATCATTAATTAATTTGATAGAAAAGAAATTTAGAACTATTGATCATGAAAATTTTGTAGTAAAATATCACCAGCATATTTACATTTGTCTTACTAAATGTACACCAGTAAACCCACTACAAAAAATCTTTCAGAGGTAAACTCTTATGTTAGTAAGACAAACTAAATACTACATGTAGAAGTTAGACACGTGCAGCGTTCGGAGAATTATTAATGTTTCTCTCGCCAGGAGCTTTTGGATTCAGAGGAAAAACGTGAGTATATATAAGAGAAAATAACAGATATGTAAACTGGGCGTGTGGAGTATGTTTTGGCTGCCCAAGATCAGTTTAACTAAAACTTTTGAAACGTTAAAACTCCCGAAGTTCTGTACATCTGTATTGCACAATTGATAACTGTATATACAGGGTCTTTGTAGATCCTCTTCTTTGTAGATGAATATCTTATTCCAATTCACTAGATGGATTGGCTATTCCTTTGTTTCACTGTGGCATGCTAAGAGTATGTTATATTGTATTTAGCGTATGCCACACACCCATATAGGCAAGGCTTCTCGACAAGCTAACACGTAGTTACAGGGTAGAGCAGTCGGGGCCCCACTGTTATACTAAACCACCTGGTTCAACCCAGCCATCTCAAGGAAGCCCGCCAAAGTATGAAGTGATTTTGGAGACTCATGAATCTGATGGCGCACAGTTCTCACTGTGTCTCTTGCTTATAAACTTGCTTTGTGCATAGTGTATGTACATTGTACATATACTTACATGCTATTTTGGTGAAGGAAATATATAAGTATTTACTCACTGCTGACTTTTGCTCGTTCCTCATTCCTGCCTTGGTTAATCGTGGTACCAGCAGGTAATAGTTCCACATAAGAACATAACATAAGAAAGAACACTGCAGCGAGCCTACTGGCCCATGCGAGGCAGGTCCAAGTCCCTCACTAGCCCAAGCCGATGCCCCAATCTAGTCAGGTCAGGTCAGGTCACATTCACTTAAGGAAGGAGCACGGCATCTGACCTAGTAGCACAAGCTAGTCAGGTCCAACTCACACCCACCCACACCCACTCATGTATTTATCTACCTATTTTTAAAAATACATAACGTTTTAGCTTCTATAACGGTACTCGGGAGCTTGTTCCACTCATCCACAACTCTGTTACCAAGCCAGTGCTTTATTATATCCTTCCTGAATGTGAACTTTTCCTGCTTAAAACCATTGCTGCTAGTCCTGTCTTGGCTAGATATTTTTAGCACGCTATTTACATCTATATTTATTCCTGAAGATTCAGAGCCCTCAGTCTATCCTCATAGGAAAGATTTCTGATACATGGGATCAACTTTGTCATCCTCCTTTGTACGTTTTCCAGAGCATTTATATCCCTTCTGTAATACGGTGACCAAAACTGTGCAGCATAATCTAAATGAGGTCTAAACAAGGCTATAGAGAGTTGAAGAACAAACTGAGGACTCTTATTATTTATGCTTCTTGATATGAAGCCAAGGATTCTGTTCGCGTTATTGCGAACACTTAAGCACTGTTGTCTTGGTTTTAGATTACTGCTAACCGGAACTCCCAAATCCTTTTCGCAAACAGTAATATTAAGATCTACATCATTTAGTATATATGTGGCATGGTTATTTTTCTGTCCAATGTTTAGAACTTTGCATTTGTCTATATTAAACTGCATCTGCCACTTCTCCGACCACTGCATCAGTCTATTTAAATCTTCCTGGTGTGCTCTAATGTCCTTGTCAGAATGAATTCGTTGGCCTACTTTGGTATCATCGGCAAACTTGCTAATATCGCTATTTATTCCCTCACCTATTTCGTTTATGTAGATTGTGAGCAACAAGGGGCCTAACACTGACCCCTGTGGACCACTCCTGACGCTTCCCCACTCGGATTTCTCCCTATTTATGCAACATGAATTATCTATATGAATTATCTATATGTCAGGCATCTCTGTGTACTCTTTACATACACTACGCCTTTCCTTTCACTCCCCTCAGGGAAGGGGTTCCTTGATGTTGGTGAGGGGCTCTTGATTTAGGGAATTGGATCTGTGCTCCAGTTTCCCAAATTAAGCCTGAATGCCTTCCACATCCCCCCCCCCAGGCGCTGTATAATCCTCCGGGTTTAGCGCTTCCCCCTTGATTATAATAATAATAATAATAATAATTTCCTTTCACTGCTACATATGCACCCATGTTTTCCTTAATCTAGACCCTACTGACAAATGCTCCTAATCAGATTTTCGAAACGTTGCACGTAATGTCTAATTTATAAATTTGTTTTATTGTGAGATTCAAACCGAATTCAATAAAAAAAATAGTATTTTTTTCAGTTAAGAAAGGTTCATGATTTAACTAAAAAATAGATCACGAGAACAATAAATCTTAGTTATTAAAAAAACCATACCACGGGTGGGGTTTGATCCCGCGGTCAGAGAGTCTCAAAACTCCAGACCGTCGCGTTAGTTACTAAAATTTTAATTCGAAGCGAAATAGTAATCATGATTCTGGTTTCTTGAGTTTACACAAAAATAATATACAAATACAGGCTAGCAATAATAGACAACTGTGAAGGAAGACTGAAAGAAATATAGTGAGGCTAAAATGCCCTTCCAGCACAGGTTCTGAGTTGTCTCTGCGTAAGGGTGACATAGGTCATGAGTGCTGAAGGTAAGGTATACTGTGTTGTGTAATCCGATGAATGCTTCAGATCACGAATACCGTGGTTTCCCCTGTCCTTTTTTTCCCCACGGTATGGTGCCACAGTTGTTGTGTCTTGTTTTGTATCCTCGGAACAGTGCCAAAGATTATGAATGCCACACCCCTCGTGTCTGAGATTTTTATCCACAGAACAGTGCCACAGATTATGAGTTCTAACACTCTTGTTTGTTCATGGAACAGTGCCACAGATTATGAGTTCTAACACTCTTGTTATGTTCATGGAACAGTACCACGGTCCCCGTATACTGTTTGACGTTCATAAAATAAGCCTCTCAAATTAGTATAGTGTTGTGATATATAGTAAAATGCTAGTGTTCCACATCACTGGAGGAGAGTCTTCCACTCAGTCATGCTGTGTGTTGCATCTGTAGAAGTGTTACTCTGAACTTCAATGTGACATGTTTTTATGCAGTAATGCCAAAGTTCTCCTTGTACTGTGTCTGTAGAATAGTGCCACAGTCCTCGGCGTAATGTGTGTAAAGAAAAGTGCCACAGTACTCACCTAGTTGTGGTTGCAGGGGTCGAGTCATAGCTCCTGGCCCCGCCTCTTCACTGGCCACTACTGGGTCACTCTCCCTGCACCATGAGCTTTATCATACCTCTGCTTAAAGCTATGAATGGATCCTACCTCCACTATATCACTTCCCAAACTATTCCACTTTCTGTCTATTCTGTGACTGAAGAAATACTTCCTAACATCCCTGTGATTCATCTGTGTCTTCAACTTCCAATTGTGTCCCCTTGTTGCTGTGTCCCATCTCTTGAACATTCTGTCCTCAATGCATTGTGTTTGTGGAACAGTGCCACAGTCTTCTATGTACTGTGTGTAGAGAAAAGTGCCGCATTCCTCCATGCACTGTCATTATAGAACAGTGCCACAGTCCTCCATGCACTGTCATTACAGAACAGTGCCACAGTCCTCCATGTACTGTCATTGTAGAACAATGCCACAGTCCTCCATGTACTGTCATTATAGAACAATGCCACAGTCCTCCATGTACTGTCATTATAGAACAGTGCCACAGTCCTCCATGTACTGTCATTATAGAACAGTGCCACAGTCCTCCATGTACTGTCATTGTAGAACAATGCCACAGTCCTCCATGTACTGTCATTATAGAACAGTGCCACAGTCCTCCATGTACTGTCATTATAGAACAGTGCCACAGTCCTCCATGTACTGTCATTATAGAACAATGCCACAGTCCTCCATGTACTGTCATTATAGAACAGTGCTAAAGTCCTCCATGTAATGTCATTATAGAACAGTGCCACAGTCCTCCATGTACTGTCATTATAGAACAATGCCACAGTCCTCCATGTACTGTCATTATAGAACAGTGCCACAGTACTCCATGTACTGTCATTATAGAACTTTGCTAAAGTCCTCCATGTACTGTCATTATAGAACAATGCCACAGTCCTCCATGTACTGTCATTATAGAACAGTGCTAAAGTCCTCCATGTACTGTCATTATAGAACAGTGCCACAGTCCTCCATGTACTGTCATTATAGAACAATGCCACAGTCCTCCATGTACTGTCATTATAGAACAGTGCTAAAGTCCTCCATGTACTGTCATTATAGAACAGTGCCACAGTCCTCCATGTACTGTCATTATAGAACAGTGCCACAGTCCTCCATGTACTGTCATTATAGAACAGTGCTCAGTGCTACTGTTACTCCCGAGTCACCTCTCTATCTTCCTGTCTCTTTCCTCAGCTCCATAATCTGAAAAAGAGAAACAATAATTAATAAAACAAATTGTATGGTGCGAGTGATTCCCTATTATTATTATTAATTATTATTATTATTATTATTATTATTATTATTATTATTATTATTATTATTATTATTTGTAGCAGTAGTACTATTGTTTATAATATTACTGCTATTCCTCCCATGATACTACCCTTAAGAGTAGTCATCGTGCATAGAGCTACAGGCATGCCCTAATTTGTGTAATAACACTCAGTTACATGAGCAGAGCTTTGCTGGTGACCTGCCGTTTCCTGAGTTCATTTTAACACATGATGCTTTTATTTCCATTTTTATAGTACTTAATATCTCCTCTTGGATCTCAATCCATTGCTCTCCCACTCTGAAATGAAACACTTTCTGGTATCCTTTTGGTAGCTTTTTTTTTTCTTAACTGCGGCTTCTTGTTGTGTTGATGGTGAAAAGAATTGTTTTATATTTTTTCTTATCCTTTCATGAACTTCATATATGGTTACCATGTATCAGATTCTTCACTCATCAACCATTAACGGATTTTTTTCAGATTTTTTTGCTCTATATTCGTACCTCACATTTTTTTTTAGCTCAAGGAGCCATTTTCCTAATGTGTTTTATCTACACGTTATGTTTACATGCGCCCACCAGGCTACTGATGTGAATTCCAGATTTTGTCTAACGTATGTTGTAATCCAGGAGTTCCCAACCTGAGGTGCACGCACCCCAGTGGGTGCGTTCACCCAGTGGGTGCGTTCACCCACTGGGGTGCGAGATGGCATTTCCGGGGGTACGAGATGGCATTTCAGGGGGTGCGACAAAGAGTATTAATGAAAAGTACAATTCCGTTTATTTTACCAAAAACTTTCCTGACTTAAGCACACACAGATTATAGCCTCTATAATCTATATGTGTTCAAGAAAAATATTATATTCTCTCAGGCAAAACTGGTTTGTCCTATATCACAATATATAATATATATCATTTGAATTTTCTTTATTATTGTTTTGGCTGCAATTTTTTTGAGCTCAATTTGTTCACCCGCAGTACTGTATTTGGTTCAATTTGTGATTCAAAAATTAGAAATTTGACTTCTTCATCTTCAAATGTGATATCACTTTTGTAGGGAGGTGCAGCATCAATCAAACATTTCCTAGGGGTGTCTGGCATAGAAAAGGTTGGGAACCCCTGTTGAATTTAGCATTTTCAACATTGACAATCCATATTAATGGGTTTGAGGTTGAATTAATATTTTTTTGGAATAGCTATATGACCCACACATTCTGCAACTACAAATACAATACATAAAATTTTATCATTAATTCTTTGTATGTTCTGTTTTTTTACATTTAATTATTTTGTATTAACTTGAACAAAAGATTTGGCTCTGCTTTGCTCTTATCTACTAAACTGTTCTTTAAATTCTCTACTTTTGTTTTCCTTATGCTGCTATATTTATTTCTGGTTTACCGTTATCTCTGTGTTTTAAAAGGTGGCTTGCTGTATTATTTCCAAGGTTCATCTTTTGTGTTAATGACTTTCTGACACTGTTTAACCAACAGTTTTTTTTATATTAAGTATTCCCAGAGCGGTAATTCCCGTAGCAGTTCTCAGATTTTTGCTGCTGCTTCCAAAATTTCCACCGTTCAATATGATGCCTCTTCTGATCGACATTAAGCTTATAACACGAGTTCATTTTACTTGGAGGAAGATCCAGTTTGTTATAAGGCTGTGTAGGCATCAATCTGATAGCTTCATAAATGCAAATTTTCATCCATTTATGTTTTACAATTGTACATACATAAATTTTGCTATCATAATGAGCAAGGACATAGCACTATTAGCATACTCCTGTGTTGTAAAGCTGTGCATGTCACCCATCATGCTACCTACCTCTGTTGTTTCTGTAATTGCTGCATCTATCGAATACATGTTACATTGAAGTGTAAATAAAATATTTGTTATTTACCGCCTGTCCAGCCATAGGCTAATAATACTAATCAGGTTTTATCCGTGTTAGGCGTTGGCAGCTCTGATTCCTTGAATTAAGAGCTCTTCAGCAGTACCACGGCATCTTTACTTGAAGGGAGCTCAAACCTGGGACGTACATTTGTGTTTAAGTAAAAAAATGAAAACATTTGAGATCATTGTACATTGTAGTGCGTTCACTAGTACAAGAATACCCCCTTTCAGGGTCGGGACCCTTGCTCTCAGGGTCGGAAAATTAAAAAAAAATTAAAACAAAAAATACAAAATTTGATGGAAAATTGACGAGATTACAGTTTCGCGAATTTTGCCGTGTCAGCTGTATTTACACATCAGCGATTTCGTTTACTTTGAGTCCGGTTTTAGATCAATTCCATTGTTCCAGTTGACCAAATTCATAGCTATTTCGCTAGTATGCCTTCCGTTCTGTCGACTGAGTAGAAGAAACTGCCCATTCAACTATTTAAACTACCTAGTAAAATGATCAGGAATTGGTAATTTGGCCAATTTCACACAAAATTAAAGAAATGCCAATTTCAAAATACGGTTCCGAATAAACAATGCAGGCATTCTTGACACTAAAATAACATTTCCTTTGTTTATTAATCACGTTCCCAGGCCTCTCATATATTACGCTTGTTTTCCATTTTGAAGTTTTATTCGCACAAAAAAGAGAATATTTACTGTTATACAGACTACTGTATTATTATAATAATTGTATAAATAATATCAGTTCACTCGTAAATGCGTGTTAGAGTGGCCACATGGACGCGTATTGGATGAGTGACGTCATTTATGTACTCTGTAATTTCGGCAAAAATCGAGCATTTCCGCTACTTTGAGCTCACTTTCAAGCTACTTTCACTCCAGAAACCAGTCAAAATCATGTTTATTCATGTAACATATTCTCCATTCTATCAAATGAGACGAAGAAACCAAGAATATAACCATAAATACATACGGAAATACACTGCAAAGTTTCTGTTTTAATCCAAAAATACCGTCGCAATTTTTTCCCATTATACACTGCAGGATTTTTTTTATATGGTGCACACTTACTGCAAAGATTCATTCTTTCATATATAGGCCCAAATTTACCGCTCACAGCTTATCTAAGTGAGCTGAGCTCATGGCATAGTGCTGCGGGACCGACCTGGGCTTGAAAGCCGTGGTTTGAATTGGGCAGAGTCAGTTCAATGGTGTGAAATAAGCAAATCAGGAAAACTTTCCTACATACCTCACCAGGTGCAGTGTCGCTTCCACTTTGTTCATCTGTTCCCACGGTGTTGTCCGGCACTGCAGCCCCAGAGTCAATCTCGGCGCTCTCCACCTTCACCAGGTAGACACAGAAGAACAGCAGCGCCAGCAGATACATAGACTTCATGATTTACTGTGGGCACCTTTCTGCTTTATCTCAGTACCTGATAGTTCTGGGTGATAGTTACAAAATAAGAGTTTCCTGGTGTCCACCTGCGGGCGAGGTCGTGTGGCTGGGGACTAGTAGCTCCAACAACACTAACAACCACCACCTTATATTCACTCGAAATTCAATCAGTGTACCCTAGAAACATCTGCTGTGAAAGCAGGTGTTCGAAGACTGATAACAATTATGTATTCCCAAACAGAACGTTCCTGGTTATGTTTAGGAATACATTTATTTCTGACATGATAACAACCCTATATGTAAATATATATATTTTATCTGCCTAGGCCACCTGTTCATAGGTCACCTCTTCATAGGTATTGAAATATACTTATTTAAAAAAAAAGTGGATTCAAAGAGGATTTTAGTGTTACTGGAATTGCTTTACTGGATTCAGGTTTATAAATTTGTCACACATTCCAAGAGTTAAGCATCGCCTGGTTTATGTGCGTTTAATTGTAAATTGGAAACGGTTTAACAAGTAGAGGCTTAACAGTAGATGGTATGGGAATAGTGATTAGCTGTAGAAGATAACACTGAAGTCATTGGAAGTTTCAGTAAGACAACGCTACGTTTGTACGGGGCCTCGGTATATAAAATTTATGAAGTATGTCATGAGTGTTATACTACCATCAAGTATGATAAAATGTGATATTATTGGAATTTTTAACCGGTGGAGAGTTAGCCGCCAGTACAACACAATAAAGTCGGTGCGTCATCGATGGCTGTCGTATTTCCAGTGGAGTCCTTTAATCTTGACCCCAGGATGCAGTCCACAACAGGTACCTACTTACTGCTTGGTGAACAGGGGCAGCACTTATAAAGAACCACATTCAACGTTTCCACCTATGCCAGCGAACGAACCACGGATACTCGGTATGTAATGCGAGTGCGCTATCCACCGAGCACCAGGACACAAGTGTCACACAAGTTAGTAATAACTATCTGTGGTAGGTGGGTCGTAGTTTTATAATAATTATTGTAATGCGTCGTGGTTGTTGGGTTATGGTAGTGGTAATGGAATTAACATACGGTCAGTGCATAATGACAATGATAATAAGATTATTAAGGTATGTTAGTGATGCAGAAACTTTTACAAGTCCTCATCTTCCTTTTCTTTTTCTTCTTCATCTTCCTCTATCGGGTTTTCTCTATTCTGTTCATTGCCCCTGACAACTGAATGTTCGTTTGCCGTGTGATCATCCGTTTCTATATTGCTGTCTGAATCACGGCTTGACAACACGCATGAAAAGTGCATTATCTTTGAAAAACCTATATAAACTTACATGACAACAACTTTACGTTTTCATATTAATAATTCAAAAGAAAATGTAAGTATTAAATATGATTTTTTTTTTGTTTTTGTGTACCAGCTTTCTACTGATCGACGCTTTTTATGCTGCTAATAGATTTGTTTGTTCTAATCATTTACCTTCCTGTGTTTCATTTATGCCTGAGATCTTGTGATCACATCCATAGCAGTTTTTCCGTTTTTCTTTCCTTTCTGCTCTTTTCCTTTTCTTTTGTCACCCCACACATTTATTATCAATGACGCCGCCTTTATTCCGGCTGCTCTTTCTGCTACCTCCCTCATTATCTTTTCTGTCAGTTGTTGATTCGTACTTATGTGACGATTGTCATTTGTACATGTTGCTCATTTTTCTTTTTTGTTAGTAAAACCTTTCCTACATTTCATGAAGGAAAATATCCAGCTTTTCCCATTGCTCCTCATTTCCATTAACATATGATCTAAATAATGGAACCTGCTTCAATCTCTCTCTGTTATGCTTTCCTTAACTTTGGTAACTCGACACTTTCTCCCATCATACGCTGCGAATCTTCCCAGTGAAGCTTACAAACTTTTTCTTTTTGTATATTTTACTCTGTTCAGGTGAATGAGAGCCAGTTAGTTACTTTCCCCGGTCTATATTATTAAAGCTGTAAATTGTAATACTAACGTAGATTGGCACAGCAGAAGCAGCTGATACTAACGTCACCATTGAAGATCTGCCGTTGAAAGGAGGCACAAGAAGCTGTTTGGCACACTCCAAGTGAATAGAAACACTGTTGGTTATGAGTTCATGTTGTAACTGAAAAATAATATATTTTATAGTTGTGTGTGGTGTGTGTGTGTGTGTGTGTGTGTGTGTGTGTGTGTGTGTGTGTGTGTGTGAATAAACAGACTGATGGACGGGGAGGCGAATCGAGGCCTGCATATTAACAGTCCGTCGCTGTGCCGATCTAGCTGCAGTTGGTAGTCTTTGACAAATATAATAGAATAAGTATCAGTTCCGAATCTTTGCTATTAGAGGCCTGAGCAGCTAGATCGGTAGAGCGAAGGACTGTCAATTTGCAGATCAAGGTTCGTTTACCATTCTGTTTATTCATTGGCAGCTGTTTATTACAATTTAATTTGAGTCTACACACACACACACACACACACACAATATATATATATTATATATATATATATATATATATATATATTATATATATATATATATATATATATATATATATATATATATATATATATTATTTTATTATTATTATTTATTATCACACTGGCCGATTCCCACCAAGGCAGGGTGGCCCGAAAAAGAAAAACTTTCACCATCATTCACTCCATCACTGTCTTGCCAGAAGGGTGCTTTACACTACAGTTTTTAAACTGCAACATTAACACCCCTCCTTCAGAGTGCAGGCACTGTACTTCCCATCTCCAGGACTCAAGTCCGGCCTGCCGGTTTCCCTGAACCCCTTCATAAATGTTACTTTGCTCACACTCCAACAGCACGTTAAGTATTAAAAACCATTTGTCTCCATTCACTCCTATCAAACACGCTCACGCACGCCTGCTGGAAGTCCAAGCCCCTCGCACACAAAACCTCCTTTACCCCCTCCCTCCAACCTTTCCTAGGCCGACCCCTACCCCGGCTTCCTTCCACTACAGACTGATACACTCTTGAAGTCATTCTGTTTCGCTCCATTCTCTCTACATGTCCGAACCACCTCAACAACCCTTCCTCAGCCCTCTGGACAACAGTTTTGGTAATCCCGCACCTCCTCCTTACTTCCAAACTACGAATTCTCTGCATTATATTCACACCACACATTGCCCTCAGACATGACATCTCCACTGCCTCCACCCTTCTCCTCGCTGCAACATTCATCACCCATGCTTCACACCCATATAAGAGTGTTGGTAAAACTATACTCTCATACATTCCCCTCTTTGCCTCCAAGGACAAAGTTCTTTGTCTCCACAGACTCCTAAGTGCACCACTCACCCTTTTCCCCTCATCAATTCTATGATTCACCTCATCCTTCATAGACCCATCCGCTGACACGTCCACTCCCAAATATCTGAATACATTCACTTCCTCCATACTCTCTCCCTCCAATCTGATATCCAATCTTTCATCACCTAATATTTTTGTTATCCTCATAACCTTACTCTTTCCTGTATTCACTTTTAATTTTCTTCTTTTGCACACCCTACCAAATTCATCCACCAATCTCTGCAACTTCTCTTCAGAATCTCCCAAGAGCACAGTGTCATCAGCAAAGAGCAACTGTGACAACTCCCACTTTATGTGTGATTCTTTATCTTTTAACTCCACGCCTCTTGTCAAGACCCTCGCATTTACTTCTCTTACAACCCCATCTATAAATATATTAAACAACCACGGTGACATCACACATCCTTGTCTAAGGCCTACTTTTACTGGGAAATAATTCCCTCTTTCCTATGTACTCTAACTTGAGCCTCACTATCCTCGTAAAAACTCTTCACTGCTTTCAGTAACCTACCTCCTACACCATACACCTGCAACATCTGCCACATTGCCCCCCCCTATCCACCCTGTCATACGCCTTTTCCAAATCCATAAATGCCACAAAGACCTCTTTAGCCTTATCTAAATACTGTTCACTTATATGTTTCACTGTAAACACCTGGTCCACACACCCCCTACCTTTCCTAAAGCCTCCTTGTTCATCTGCTATCCTATTCTCAGTCTTACTTTTAATTCTTTCAATAATAACTCTTATCATACACTTTACCAGGTATACTCGACAGACTTATCCCCCTATAATTTTTGCACTCTCTTTTGTCCCCTTTGCCTTTATACAAAGGAACTATGCATGCTCTCTGCCAATCCCTAGGTACCTTACCCTCTTCCATACATTTATTAAATAATTGCACCAACCACTCCAAAACTATATCCCCACCTGCTTTTAACATTTCTATCTTGATCCCATCAATCCCGGCTGCCTTACCCCCTTTCATTTTACCTACTGCTTCAGGAACTTCCCCCACACTCACAACTGGCTCTTCCTCACTCCTACAAGATGTTATTTCTCCTTGCCCTATACACGAAATCACAGCTTCCCTATCTTCATCAACATTTAACAATTCCTCAAAATATTCCCTCCATCTTCCACGCACATTTAAGCATCCCAGTTTTATAAAGTTTTTCTTCTCTTTTTTAGTAAATGTCTACAGGAGAAGGGGTTACTAGTCCATTGCTCCCGGCATTTTAGTCGCCTCATTCGACACGCATGGCTTACGGAGGAAAGATTCTTTTCCACTTCCCCATGGACAATAGAAAAAATAAAGAAGAACAAGAGCTATGTAGAAAAAGGAGAAAAACCTAGATGTATGTATATATATATGCATGTGCATATATATATATATATAATATATATATATATATATATATATATATATATATATATATATATATATATATATATAATATATATATATATATATAGGAAAGTACCACCTCTATGGCTGGAATGGGGACCCTCATCCTCAGAGAAGACAATAAACGTACCTCAGGGAAAACTCAAGGTTCTCCCCGGAGCTGTTTGAATATTTTCTTCTCCTACCACCCCCTATATTTGATATTCTATGTGAACATTTATTAATAAATAGAATACATTTACAGAAAAACATAAACATGAATAAAATGGCACAATGTATCAAAGATCATGAATTTCCTCCAGCTCCTCCGAGGCTGGACGCGAGCCAGGTATGCAGCAAGCATTTCTCCTCTGGATGGCTACGCTGAGGCGCTGGAACATGAAAGTGGCTG